TAAGTGAAACTTATGAAATTTTAAGTAAAAGCAATTGCTTAGTTTTTACGGCTATTCGTAATTGCTGCTTCTCTGTTTTAAACGTTCTCTGCCACAACTGCAGTTGCAGTTTGCTTTAAAGTTATTACAAGACGAATCTTAAAAGAATACTCAATTTGTTCCCACAGCAGCCGGACCTACAACAACAACAACATGTCATGTTTACACGATCCAACATGATTGACAATAAGGTGTGATGGCTATCGATGTAGGCGCTTAAGCATATGTTGGCTACAAGAATGATAGAATACAAGATTGCGCCAATCGAGCTGAGAGTAACTGGCCGTGACGTCAATAAATACCAGAATGAGAGAGCAAGATGAACTCGACAAGAAAAAGAGGAAGCATCGAACAAAAGGCAGTATTGCCAAGTTTTGAATTTGAAAAAGCACCAAATATTTATTGGTGTATTTTATGGACTTTATATGCATACATAATTATATTGTAAGGATGCCGATTCAAATTAATAAAAATGAATGTTTCTTGCACGACGGTCGATTTCTTCTGGCTTGATTGAAGGTGCTGCCACATATTTTGTTGTCGCTTATGATTGTGCCATGATTTTATTTAAATTTTTGTGAAGTTGCTTACCACGCTTATGATTGCTATAATTTTTGCTTCCATTTTTTTAAGATTTTATAATTTGGTGTCTTCAAACTAAAAACAAAAGCACCAAAAACGCACCAAGCACCAAACTCAAAAATGTTCGCGTTTTGAATACCCACTAAATTTGGTGCGGAAAGCATTAAGTTGGCAACAGTGAATGTAAACAAAACTATTTTATGACGTCAGCGAATGGGTGGATGCTGTCAAATCGACGATGAGAGGGTTAGCGGTCCGCGAATGGCGCGACCTTTATTTTCTGGATCGTGTGTTGGCTAGTTTACAAAAATTGCAGCCAAGTTATCACACATTGTGGATTATGTATACCCCGCTAATAGGAAAGATGGAAAATCTAATTGGTTTAAAGGGACAAAAAATACGTAGTATCACAAATTAATGTCAGCACTAAGTAGTAAGTCATTACCCCGGAGTTTGTGTCGTTAATTTGCATGCAGTTCGATTTCACATAACGGTTGTTTGTAACGGGCAAAACGAATCGAGATAGATATAGACAAATGTATACATAAATGATCAGAATAAAAAGAGAAATCGATTAAGCGGTCCGTCCGTCTGTCCGTCTGTGCACACGATACCTCCAGTAAACATTAGATATCTTAACAAAACTTGGTACGTGCACTTATTTCGGGCGTAGGATGGATGGTATTGAAAATGAGCAAAATCGGACAATAACCACGCCTACCTCCCATATAACGGTAATTTTAAGAATTACGAAAACTGCAATATTATAAATTTTTGAAAAATGGGCGTAGCCACGCCCACTTATGTTTACATGTGTATACTTGGTAACAATTTCTTCCACACTTGGCACAGTTGAACAGCCTTGATACAGCATATCAAATGGCTGAAAATTTTTAAAATCGGACAATAACCACGCCCACATCCCATATAACGGTCATTAAGAGAAATACGAAATCTTCGAAAAACCAGTAAATATTAAAGCTAATTTATTCAAAATTGATGCCTGCAGTAATTCTTTAATAAGAAATACGTCTATGATAAAATTTTGGAAAATGGGAGTGGCACCGCCTACTTATGATCACATATATGTATCTCGGTAACCGCTGTACCAATTTGAACCAAGCTCGGTATGGTTAATGTGCTTGCCACGTAAAAGCAAACGTTGAAAATTGTTGAAATCGGACTAAAATTACGGCCGCTTTTCATATAACGGCAAATTTCAGAAATGCTTGAAACTATGTACATATTTCGAAATTTAAGGACGCTAATTTACTCAAAATCTATGCACCCCGGCTTACCATGTAGCGGTTCCTGCGCCGGGTATTTAATATTCGGCACCGCCGGAACTTAGACTTTCTTACTTGTTTTATTTAGAGTATTCAGCATAGTGTATTTAATTGTGGATATAATTTAGATAAACTTAAAGAAAACTCGCATGCAATTCACCGAGTTATAAGAAAATATTCTTTTAATACTGTGTCAACACTAACATCCAGATTGCGATGAACAATTAGAACAACTAGCCCATTGTGTGCCTATACATTAGCCTGCGCCTAAAGAGCGAAATACACAACACAAGCGGCTTGACAAACCAATCGAAATTTCCCTTTGCATCAAGCCATTTGTGCTGTCTATGGGGTTGTTGTTGTTGTAACATTATACAGCTGGAGTGACAGTCCTTGGCCAGGTATAAATCTGGGTCATTCCGGTTACGTAGACCCGACTGTCGTGGGAACGTGCTGTCTATGGGGTGTTTGAAAGTGTTTGCATTATTCAACTTTGCGTTCAACAATTGCGTTCAACTCAACGCAGGGTTGCACGAAAAAAAAGTTGAATGGCTAAATGTTGGCTGGCGACCAACTTTGTTGAAAGCGATTAGTTGAAAGGCCATTCAACCAAAAGTTGAATGCAAAGTTGAACAATGCAAACACCTTTTTATGGCGAATATTTTGATATTTTTTCATATTTTGATATTTTTAGCCATTCAACTTTTTTTTTCGTGCAACCCTGCGCTGAGTTGAACGCAAATGTTGAACGCAAATGTTGAACGCAAAGTTGAACAATGCAAACACACTTTTAGATAAACCGCTTGAGGGAAATTTGAGCAAAAATCAAATTTTTTTGATTTTCTGGCCGCCATGTTGACGTTTGATCAAACCGCTTGCGATGTGGATGGTAAAAAAAAATCGCCTCAATTGCAACTGAAATTTCACCAAGTGAAGACGTAAGGGAGAATAATGGTAGAAAACTAAAAAAATGTTTTACANGTGACAGTCCTTGGCCAGGTATAAATCTGGGTCATTCCGGTTACGTAGACCCGACTGTCGTGGGAACGTGCTGTCTATGGGGTGTTTGAAAGTGTTTGCATTATTCAACTTTGCGTTCAACAATTGCGTTCAACTCAACGCAGGGTTGCACGAAAAAAAAGTTGAATGGCTAAATGTTGGCTGGCGACCAACTTTGTTGAAGGCGATTAGTTGAAAGGCCATTCAACCATAAGTTGAATGCAAAGTTGAACAATGCAAACACCTTTTTATGGCGAATATTTTGATATTTTTTCATATTTTGATATTTTTAGCCATTCAACTTTTTTTTTCGTGCAACCCTGCGCTGAGTTGAACGCAAATGTTGAACGCAAATGTTGAACGCAAAGTTGAACAATGCAAACACACGGTTTGACAAACCGCTTGAGGGAAATTTGAGCAAAAATCAAATTTTTTTGATTTTCTGGCCGCCATGTTGACGTTTGATCAAACCGCTTGCGATGTGGATGGTAAAAAAAAATCGCCTCAATTGCAACTGAAATTTCACCAAGTGAAGACGTAAGGGAGAATAATGGTAGAAAACTAAAAAAATGTTTTACATTGTAAACCGAAAGAAAACTAAAATTCTGTGCTTGAACGACTCATGTTTGCATGGTCTATGGCAAAATGGGAAATGTATGTTTGATATGAGCCGCTTGTGTGGTGTATTTCGCTCTTTAGTTGAATGGGGAAATTTTTTTGTTTTAAGGGCCTGTGCCCATCGGTAAGTTTTTTTCTTTCTCCGTGGTGAGACGGGGTGGAAAAATTTGCTATGGTGTTTGAATTTTGCTGTGCCAAATGCAGAGTAAAATTTTGACAGTTGAAAAACCAAACAAACGCTCGTGCGAAAGCTTTATTTTTGTGTGTTGCTGAAATTCTTAAAATTTATATTTATTTAATAATTTGCTAGTAACGTACGCTTTTTTTACGCTGTTTCAGCTTTCATTTTCATGTTCACTCCTTATTACCGCCAATCAATATTATGTGTATACATGGTTATAAGCTGTCAAAATTTTACCTAGCCCCATGAGCTAGGTAAAATTCTGACGTTCTTATTCACCACGAGAAATGTCAGATTTTTACTTTGATCCGTCAAAATTTTCTCTTTTCTATCATTTGGCACAGGCCCTAAGTTACAAAGCAAGACGGGAAATGGAAATCGGACAACGGAAAGATGTGCCCTAAAGTTTAGCATTTTTATGCAATTTTTCACAGAGCGGTCAAAATTGCCTATAGATCAATAGGAATTTTAATATATTTTATTGGCACTTGATGTAGATCTTAAAATATTTTTTACCATTATTATCTTAAACAAAATGATGGCAAATTGTTATGCATATTTCCCTCCACAGGGGGGGGCGGATTTGCTTTTATGTGTTCGTAGCAAAAGCGACTACCTGCTGAAACTCATACATTTATCTCCCAAAGTCTTTTGATAAAGTGATAAAGTTTGGTTAAATAGATTCCATACAAAGTTTGATAGTTCATTCATCAAAATGATAAATTTATTATTTTATCAAGTTTATCAACAGCTTATCACTTTTGAAGAAGACCCCTACTATATGTATACGTATGTGCATACATAGAAATATAATGTCTTATCCTGAGTTTCGCCTGAAATAAAATCCACCCGAAAATTTGTCATCCGCCCATAGTAAAACCATGGAAACCAGGAGTTAAAAGTGAACTCAGAACCATGAGTTCATGAGTGAACCGGTTCGGGGAAAATGAAACTCATGATAAGGCTGAATATAAATAAATTGCAGTAGCACATACATAAAAGACTAAGTTAAAAGCATTGCGATCGCATCATCCGCCTCTTTTCTATCACAACAAGATCACATATGAGCCGCTCACCATCTGTTGCAAACGACAGCGAGCAATTGGCGAGCATGCTTGCGCACTTGTTCGTCGTTTGTGGCCAGTGTAAGGGTAATTCTCATTTCTGAAATATACTTCAGATGTCGCTATTTATTAAAAAAAACCTTGGCGCCAGTTGCCAATGGAGATAATTGATTAATATTTTTTTCCGAAATTTTTTTTGAATTAGCTCAAAGCAATTTGGAAACTTGCAAAATGTTTGGTGGTTTCCAATGTTCGATTCCGGCGGAAGCCGATCGCAAGGTGGATAAAATCAACAATATTTTCATAGAGACTGTGATGGAGCAGGAGCGTCGAGTCAAGGATTTAAAAGCTCAAGAAGTACAAATGACGGCCGAAAACCCGGGTGTACGTGCTCAGCAAGAAATCCCTGATATTTCAATAGAATTGAAGGCACAGAAAGTAGAAGACTTTTTAAATAAGAAACGTCGTCAGCAGCTACGACAAAACAATTTAGAGCTACGACAATTAGAGAAGCAACTTAAAGCTGCATTTATTTCTAAAGAGCTTGTGGAGCAGAAGGAAGCAGCGGATAAACTAAAGGAGGAGCAAATGAAGAGCAAGCGCTTAGAAGATATTGAATTCGAAAAGGAGCAACTGCGCTGCAAAGAGGCACTTATTGAATCTGAAAGGAAAGAATGGAAAAAGAAGGAAGAATTTCGGAGTGTTCTTTTAAGTCAAATGGCGGAATCACAGCAAAAACGAAAAGATGAATATACAGAGGTTCTAAAGGACAGGGATTTAATGCAAAAATTATTGCATAAATATAAGACTGAGCACGATTCGGAATTGATGGAACTTGAGAGGAGGAAAGAAAGTGCCAAAAAGGAAATGGACGAATTTAAACGCAAACAAGAGGAATATAAATTAATGCAAATGTCTCAAAAGATAGATGAGGTAGAGCGATTCCAGGAGATGATGAAGGAGCGCGAGGAGAAGAATTTGCAACTGAAATTGCAAAGAGAAAAGCAGACCCAAAAGAGGGCAGAATTGAGTGATCGTATTGGACAAGAATTATACAAAGTTGAGGTAAGTTTATACATACGTACATATGTACTTAATATTTCCTCTGCCAGATTATGTAATGTGTACTTTTTAGAGCGAGAAACGAAGACGCGAAAACCTATTGCTCGATTTATTGGTGGAGGAACGCAACACCAATGAGGATATGAGATATAAACAAAACCTTGAGAAGCAACATAATGATCGTATTCAAATGCGTATGGAATTTGAACGTTATCGTAAGGAACGAGAGCGGCAAAAACTAGAGCGGGAGCAAAATGAGGATGCCACATTCCTTGCTGAGATGCGGAAACAGCTGGCTGAACGTGATAAGATAGACCAATTAGCGGATGAAAAACGTCGTCAAAAGATAAGAGAACATGGTCGTGCTATTCAAGAAATGATAGAGCTACGCCGACGTCAACGTGCCGCTGATGCTGCAGAAGAGATTAAATGGCATGAATTCTTGAATAAAGAGGAACGAAAGCGGTAAGCCCAAATAATGATTTTGATATGACAAAAGAACTTAAAATTTTTTTTTTAGCCTGGAGTTGGTTGAAAATGAGCGTATGGAAATGCTTAAAAATGCTCCGGTTGACGTGTTGCGCTACCTGCCGTCTGGTGTTCTAAAGGACATGGACCGAAAAGTTCTTGGCCTTTCCGACGAAAGCTAGTAATTACTTTCAGTTTTTTTTTTAAAATTAATTTCCGTTGGGATTTCAAATGTAAATTTCTCAGTACCTAATACATATTTTGCAATAATGTAATTTAAAAAATTACACGTATGTATTGAATGTATCTCATCTAATTCCAGAATCTGTATTCGCAGAGCAGTTTTGATTCCCTAGAAGTCTTCTCCAATATATTCGCGTATTAATTACGGGAATTCACATTAAGAATCGAAATGTCTTAAAGCTGTAAAGTTTAGCAATTCAAAATAACGGTTAAAAGGGTTTTAGGGGATCCGCAGTGTATAATCAGAGCTAATTACATACACATATAGAAAACCATATCGATACTTTTCTTTCGATACATTGGGAACACTTGAAAAACTTTCTTTTTAAATGAAATATTGGTACAATCGAATGCTAGCTTCAATTTACAACCCCATTATTGGCATTTATGCAATATTCTTCATCCAAATTCTTAATTACTTTACGCAGAAAATATCGGGTAGGTTCAGAAGGCGCAGCAGTTGAGCGCAAGCGTTGATAAAAACCCAGTTATCGTTATGCGTCTTCTGAACGGCTTGATGCATTAGTTGGTACTTAAAGTTAGTTGTAACTTTATTGAAAGATAACCCATCCAAAATGATGTCAAAAATCTACAACTATAAGTACAAACTTAATTATGACTATGAATAGGCCCTATTGCATTAAATATAGTTTAAAGACCATAAGGACCTACCTTAATAATGAAAGATTGATTTAAAAAACTGGACGTATTTACTTATTCTGCTTTTTTAAGTAATTTTTTTTATTAATGAAA